TGAATAGGTAGGGGGAGAGTGGGCAGCCTTGTCTGGTCCCTGATCTTAATGGGATTGCTTCAAGTTTCTCTCCATTTAGCTTGATGTTGGCTACTGGTTTGCTGTAAATTGCTTTTACTATGTTTAGGTAGGGGCCTTGAATTCCTGATCTTTCCAAGACTTTTATCATGAAGGGATGTTGAATTTTGTCAAATGCTTTCTCAGCATCTAGTGAGATGATCATGTGGTTTTTTTCTTTCAGTTTGTTTATATAGTGGATTACATTGATGGATTTCCGAATATTGAACCATCCCTGCATTCCTGGTATAAAACCTACTTGATCATGATGGATGATTGTTTTGATGTGTTCTTGGATTCGGTTTGCTAGAATTTTATTGAGTATTTTTGCACCAATGTTCATAAGGGAGACTGGTCTTAAGTTCTCTTTCTTTTTTGGGTCCTTGTGGGGTTTGAGTATGAGTGTAATTGTAGCTTCATAGAACGAATTGGGTAGTGTTCCTTCTGTTTCTACTTTGTGGAATATTTTGAAGAGAATTGGTATTAGGTCTTCCTTGAAGGTCTGATAGAATTCAGCACTAAAACCATCTGGTCCTGGGCTTTTTTAAGTGGGGAGACCTTTAATGACTGCTGTTATTTCCTGAGGGGTTATGGGACTATTTAGATGGTTTATCTGCTCCTGGTTTAACTTTGGTACCTGGTATCTGTCTAGGAAATTGTCCATTTCATCCAGCTTTTCCAATTTGTTGAGTATAGGCCTTTATAGTAGGATCTGATGATTTTTTGAATTTCTTCAGTTTCTGTTGTTATGTCTCCCTTTTCAGTTCTGATTTTATTAATTTGGATACTGTCTCTGTGCCCTCTGGTTAATCTGGCTAGCAGTTTATCTATCTTGTTGATTTTCTCAAAGAACCAGCTCCTGGTTTTATTGATATTTTGTATTGTTCTTTCTGTTTCTATTTGGTTGATTTCAGCCCTGAGTTTGATTATTTCCTGCCTTCTACTCCTCCTGGGTGTATTTGCTTCTTTTTGTTCTAGAGCTTTTAGTTGTGCAGTCAAGATTTTAGTATGTGCTCTTTCCAGTTTCTTTTTGTAGGCACTTAGAGCTATGAGTTTTCCTTTTAGCACTGCCTTCATGGAGTCCCACAAGCTTTGGTATGATGTGTCCTCATTTTCATTGAATTCTCAAAAGTCTTTAATTTCTTTCTTTATTTCTTCCTTGACCAATTCATCATTAAGTAGAGAGTTGTTCAGTTTCCATGTGCACGTGGGTTTTCCATTGGTTTTGTCATTATTAAAGACCAGTCTTAGTCCGTGGTGATCTGATAAGATGCAAGAGATTATTTCAATCTTTTTGTATCTGTAGAGGGTTGTTTTGTGACCAATTATATGGTCTATTTTGGAGAAGGTACCATGAGGTGCTGAGAAAAAGGTATATTCTTTTGTTTTAGGATGAAATGTTCTATAGATGTCTGTTAAGTCCGTTTGGTTCATAACTTCTGTTAATGTCAAAGTGTCTCGGTTTAGTTTCTGTTTCCATGATCTGTCCATTGCTGAGAGTGGGGTGTTGAAATCCCTCACTATTATTGTGTGAGGTGTAATGTGTGTTTTGAGCTTTAGTAAAGTTTCTTTTATGTATGTAGGTGCCCTTGCATTTGGAGCATAGATGTTCAGAATTGAGAGTTCAACTTGGTAGATTTTTCCTTTGATGAGTATGAAGTGTCCTTCCTTATCTTTTTTGATTAATTTTGGATGAAAGTCGATTTTATTTGATATTAGAATGGCTACTCTAGCTTGTTTCTTGGGACCATTGGCTTGGAAAATTGTTTTCCACCCTTTTATTCTGAGGTAGTGTCTGTCTTTGTCACTGAGGTGCGTTTCTTGTATGCAGAAAAATTCTGGGTCTTGTTTGTGTATCCAGTCTGATAATCTGTGTCTTTTTATTGGGGAATTGAGACCATTGATGTTAAGAGATATTAAGGAAAAATGATTGTGGCTTCCTGTTATTTTTGTTATTAGAGGTAGAATTATGTTTGTATAGTTATCTTCCTTTGGGGTTGTTGGAAAATTACTTTCTTGCTTTTTTTATGTTGTAGTTTCCCTCCTTGTGTTGGCATTTTCCATCAATTATCCTTTGAAGTGCTGGGTTTGTGGGAAGATATTGTGCAAATTTGGTTTTGTCATGGAATATCTTGGTTTCACCATCTATAGTGATTGAGAGTTTTGCTGGGTATAGTAATCTGGGCTGGCAATTGTGTTCTCTTAGGGCCTGTATGATGTCAGTCCAGGCTCTTCTGGCTTTTATAGTCTCTGGTGAGAAGTCTGGTGTAATTCTTATAGGTCTGCCTTTGTATGTTACTTGACCTTTTTTCCCTTACTGCTTTTAGTATTTTTTCTTTGTTTTGTGCATCTGATGTTTTGATTATTATGTGACGGGAGGTATTCTTTTCTGGTCTAGTCTATTTGGTGTTCTGTAGGCTTCTTATATGTTTATGGGCATCTTGTACTTTAGGTTAGGGAAGTTTTCCTCAATAATTTTGTTGAAGATATTTACTGGCCCTTTAAGTTGGGAATCTTCATTCTCATCTATACCTATTATCCTTAGGTTTGGTCTTCTCATTGTGTCCTGTATTTCCTGGATGTTTTGAGTTAGGAGTTTTTTGCATTTTGCATTTTCTTTGACAACTGTGTCAATATTTTCCACCGTATCTTCTGCATTTGAGATTCTCTCTTCTATCTCTTGTATTCAGTTGGTGATGCTTGCATCTATGACTCCCGATCTCTTTCTTAGGTTTTCTATCTCCATGGTTGTCTCCCTTTGAACTTTGTTTATTGTTTCTATTTCCATTTTCAGGTCCTGAATGTTTTTGTGTAATTCCTTCTTTGTGTTTTCTTGCATTTCTTTAAGGGATTTCTGTGACTCCTCTTTAAGGGCTTCTATCTGTTTACTTGTACTCTCCTGTATTTCTTTAAGGGAGTTACTTAATTCCTTCTTATAATCCTCTATCATCATCATGAGAAGTGATTTTAATTCTGAATCCTGCTTTTCAGGTGTGATGGGGTGTTCAGGGCTTGCTATATTGGGAGAACTGGGCACTGATGATGCCAAGAAACTTTGGTTTCTGTTGCTTATGTTCTTGTGCTTGCCTTTTGCCATCTGGTTAACTCTAGTGTTACCTGCCCTCACTGTGTAAGACTGGAGTCTGTATTTCCAGTTATCTTGCTTGATCCAGAGCTCCTCAGAGTCCAGATGTCTCTGTGGTCCTAATCTCCTAATCTCCTAGGTGGAAGAACTTCTGGGACTCAGGCCATCTCTTGGATCTGGAAATCCTTTTGCTCTGAGTGCAGTGGCTCTTCGATGACTCAGGATTCAATATCTCCACAGGACAGGAGCAGAAGGACTCGGCTGCTCTGAGTACAGTCGCTCTTCAGCTGCTCTGAGTGCAGTGGCTCCTCGATGACTCAGGATTCAGTATCTCCACAGGACAG